ACTAGGGGCCCGGTACACGACATTCGTGCACTTGGAGGGAGGGTCCTCTCAGCCTGGCCTGTGCCCTCTTGCAGACCGGGAACCCTCGGGGATTGGGCCTAAGATGGCAATCAAACATCCCCCAAGGGATCCTTGCCCATCTGCAGTGGAGGCAGGAGAGGCTCCTGCCACCTGCACTGCACTCACCAGCCATGTGCCTGGCACTCAGCCAGAAGCTGGGTTCGCTGCTTCTTAGTGCTGCCTCTGAGATAGAAAAGGCTCCTGCAATCACTGCTTTGCTTGCCAGCCATAAACACGGCTTCTGGCTGAGCAGCACTCCCTTTGTGGGAGTGCACTGACCACCAGGGGGCAGCTCCTGAGTTGAGCGTCTGCCCCTGGTGGTCAGTGCATGTCATAGCGACTGGTCGATTTGCATAATAGGCTTTTATTATATAGGATTGTATTATTGTTAAATCACTTTAGCTTACCCCTGTGTATGTATGTATGTATATACACATATACGTATGTATGGTATATATGGAAAATCTGAAGATTAGTCATTGGTCCCATCCTAGTAATATAAAAGAAGAAACCTTATTGAAAAATAGGCACTTAGAAACCCAGAGAGCCTCCACACAAAAGGAAAGCCAAATATTTCTGGTAGTTAGTCACTGTTATAAATAGACTGCACAGCAGCAAATCAAATATAACATTAAATAACTCTGAAATGAAAGTAAGCATTCTGTAAAAATGTGACATTTTGGAGCAGAAGGTTAGTTCATTTTAGGTGGGTGTTAGAAGTAGATGTCCTTAGAATTTAATGTTTCTACTTAATATTAAAATTGACATTTAAGTTCAGGACAAAAAGAACAGTATTGTAGAGTTTCCCTGAAGTATTCAGATTGCTGTTAAACATTATTTATTCTCTGAGCTTAAAAATCGAGGGGAAAAGTATCTGTTTAATCTCTTATAAAATAGGTAAAATTTTCCTTTCTAATATTGAAACTCAGGAACAACTGAAAATATAAAATTGACCCATAGCCCCTAAATTATCTTCAAATGGTAGTAAAAAGGGAGTGCTCAAAAGAATAACAACACAAATAACAACAAAAAATAAAATGCACACACACAAATTAAAACAACCCTTCTCCCCAAATAAAAGCCTGTTTTTCAAGCTACTTTCATTATCAGCCATTTTCTTTAAGACATTTCCTAAAAGTCAGTTGCATTTGACGGTGGAGTGCTTTTTCTCTGGGTACTTCTCATCGCTGGCTAGATGATTTTACAAAATTATAGCTCAGGAGTTGGGCGGAGTGCACATCTAGTTGTCTGTCTCTACCTGCGGTATTGATCTAGACGTGGTGAGCAGTGTTTGGTTGTCTTGAAATGGAAGAGTGTGTTTGGAGCACAAGTCAATTACGTAATGACTCTCACTGCTCACTGTCCAGTGAGTTGTGGCATCACTATGCAGCTGTGATGTGTGCCCAGGTAACAATTCACGCCTGAACAGCTGAATACATACTCACATCCAATTTCATTAACTTTTCAGTAAATATGTGATTTGCGGTACATGAAAAAATGTTTCTGTTCAATAACTAATTTAAGGGTTTTTTAAATTTTGCCTGTGGGAATGAATAGTCTGGTCAACTGATATGGCAAAACATGAAAAAGAACCCATCATAAAATACTCTAAGGAGGTTAAAGTCCTTAGAAAACTGATGGTTTTATGTTTTACATTTCAAAACTTTACCAAAGATAGTTCTATAAAAATAATACATACTATTTTTTATGTGTATACTAGTATATATATATATTTTCAGAGAGAGTGGAAGGGAAGAGAAGATACAAGAGGGGGAGAAACATTGATGTGAGAGAGATACATCAATTGGTTGCACCCTTACCAGTCTGGGGATTGAACGTACAACCCAGGTACGTGTCCATGCGTGAGAATTGAACCTGTGACCTTTCGGTGCATGGGACAATGCTGTAACCACTTAGCAACACTGGCCAGGGCATCATGTGTATATTTTAATGGAAATATATTGACCACATTTATGAACATGCAGTTATTAAAGGCAGGCTAAGAAAATATACACGGAGTTGTATAAAGTATAACAAATTATAAGGTGACCACACTCTAAATACAGTATGTCTCAAAAAAAATGTAGACACACTTTGAATAATTAAAAAGCCAGCATACATTTCATTTTCAAAATGTAAGAGCATGTGTAGCTCTCAGCCGTTAAAGTGTGTTGACATATTTTTGGGACACACTGTATGTATGTTTCAAGGGAGAAATAGTGGGTATCAATGGTAATTATCTATAATAATAAAAGCATAATATGCTAATTAGACCAAATGTCCTTTTGGACATCCTTCCAGAGGACCTTCTGGACAAAGCCAGGGCTGCGAGGCAAGCCCAGCTCCCGGGTGCCTGCAGGTGGCCGGAAGGAAGCCAAGGTCCCTTGTGGCAGCAGCCGGGGGAAGGAAGGCCTACTCTTGCACGAATTTCGTGCATCAGGCCTCTAGTTCTAAAGCAAAGAGGAACATGCAATAAATATCAGAGTGAAGAGAACTGCTCTTTGCATATACCTTTAAAAGGTAATTTACCTTCTTTTAGATTTTCTTATATGTCAGTGCCACACTTCCGCCCAAGCTTAAAAGAGCCAACGCTCCAATGTTTCTCAAATCTTCACATTAAAACCATTGAGTGGCTTTTTATCTTTTGCCTTAATAAGCAAGTGGTAAAATGAGATCACCGAGTTTCATATTATAATTTTGCTTTTTAATCTTCTTTACCCATTAGAAAAAAGAAGCACACCATTTCATTGAAGTCAGCCTGTTGGTACACATCATTTTTAACACTATTTTTTCAGTGTACCCCAAAATAGCATTGTGTAGTATATCATTGGTTTCTTTTATTTTCAGTACTAATGACTCGGTGCATGGATTTGTGCACCTTGAAAGGAAATTAATTAGAAGGTTGCTGGCAGGATGGGACTGGGCAAGATGGGCTGCATACACCCTGGAACCAACCTCCTGCAGTCCCTCCCCAGAGTCTGTGGAGTGACCCGGTCCCTCTGGCAGGTGGGGCCCTTTGGCCTGGCCTGCGGGGATCAGGCCAAACCGGCTCTCTGACATCCCCCAAGGGGTCCTGGAGTGCGAGAGGGCACTCTGCAAAGTTGCTGTTGTAAAGGGTGTAGAACACAAATGCAAGTGTGCAGTAAACCAGATTCGGGGCTGACAGTGCTCCAGCAACAACATAACCCACGGCCAAAGGTGGAACTGCGTAGACCCGTGAGGAATTGGGCTCCCTTCTCTCTGGTTTTGGGGTGTCATCCAAGAACCGCTGCTGCCAAGTCACTGCAGCTCGGCAGCTCCTGCATTGAGTGTCTGCCCCCTGGTGGTCAGTGTGCGTCATAGCGACTGGTCGGACGGTAGGAGGGATACTTAGCATATTAGCCATATATATATTTGTATTTCAGTCATTGTATTTCACTGTTTTACATGCCTACCTCCCTTTGCTAGACTGAGAGCTGCCTAAAGACAGATATATGTTTTATTCCCACTCTTTATCATCTCCATAATGCATGGCACGTAGTAGGTGTTCAATAAATATTTATTTCATTAAAAATGCTCTAGATATGCTTGAAAATGACCATATCCACTATGTTTTAAATTCAGAGTACAGTATTCTCTTTTGAGTCTTATTTCAGACTTGTCTTTTATTTTAAAGACAGGCAAACAAGGAACCCAAACTTATTTCTCTGTGTTAAGCTAACATGGGCATTTTAAAAAAATAATACAACACTATGATTTTCACTAAACTAGGAAAGGTTATTTTGGAGCTGCTGGGACGTTAGATATTTGAAGTAGTAATTACTTCCTCCTTAAATGTTACCTTTCAGAGTCAAATACTGCTTTCCTGTTGCAGTTCAACTTTTTACTTAAAGGAAAATGTCTTTTATTCACAATTCACCGTGCTATAATATTATACGTGGTCATTCTCCTTTTCATTTGTTTTGGTAGCGCTGTAAAGTAAATGAAGCATCATCAAAGTAACGATAGTAGCTTACACTTTAGAGTCTATTCTGTGCCCAGCATTTCACTAAGCATGTTACATGAGCTACGTCATTTAATAACCACATTACAGTTTTTGATGTGTGCGATTTTACATCTATCTATCTAAGCTTAGAAAGGCAATTTTCAACTGATAAGCAGTATGGTCAAGAAAATAATGCAAAGATAGCCACCTTCAGATTTTGCATTCTTGGTTCTTTAAAGTTCTGAGTACCCAGCAACAAAATTTAATACCATAGTTTGCATAATCAGGAACCAGGAAGCACTTGTGTTATCATTTATAAGACAAACAGCACATGCTGGGTTGTGCTAGCAAGTCACTGCAACTAAGACTCCAAGGGTATTTCTTCTACATTGAATGGATGCAATATGAACTCTTACCTGATGATCATCCACACTTCATGTTGAAAGTGACTGCTATCATTTATAACTTACCGTGGTAGACTTGGGTTTGGTTCCAGAATTGGTCACTGGGGTGGAAGATGGTAGGTCAATGGACTCGGCATTAGAAGACACATGTATTGGTGCCTGATTTACTGAAATGGTATCTGCTCCGCTCTCAGATCCGGACTCCAGGTCCTATTAAGAAAATGCATTTATATGAAGGACATGCACATGTTCTCTACATGCCTTTCTCCCTGCTACCAGCACCTTCTCACCTCTTCCTTCTAACACACACTGACACACCAAAGAGTTGCTGACAACTGACATTGAGTGTCACCCATAATCATGCATTATTACTATTATTTTTTATAATCCTGCATTATTTTGTAACAATTGTACTCTTCCAATGCCCAGATTTTAGAAAACAAATACTAGAGAAAGAGGTAATATACAACTTTGGGAATTTAACAGCTGATTGTGAAGGGGACATACAAATGGCTAACAGGTACATAAAAAGATGCTCAACATCACTAATTGTCAAGGAAATGCAAAATCAAAACCACAATGAGATATCACCTCACACATGTTAAAACGGCTGTTATCAGAAAGGCAAGTGGTAATAAGTGTTGATGGGGTCTTGGGGAAAAGGGAACCTTGTGTACTGCTGGTGGGAATGTCAACTGGTATAGCCACAATGGAAAACAGTACGGAGGTTTCTAAAAAAAAAAACCCACAAAAAAAACTAGAATTGTCATATGATTCAGTAATGCTACTTCCAAAGAAAACAAAGTCACTGTTTAAAGAGATATTTGCATCCTTATGTTCATTGCAGCCTTATTCACAATAGCTAAGAAATGGACACCTAAGTGTCCAATGATAGATGAAAGGATAAAGAAGATATGATATTTTTACATATATGTATATATATGCACACATGAATACAATAGAATATTACATATATACAGGTATGTACAATAAAATATTACTGAGCCATAGAAAAGAAAATCTTGCCTCTCCTGATAACATGATGGAACTTGAAAGCTTTAGGCCATGAAATAAGTCAGACAGAAGCCCAAATACTGTATGGTCTCACTTAAATGTGGAATCTAAAAAAAAGCCAGACTCATAGGACAGAGTAGAATGGTGATTGACAGGGGTTGGGGAGGGGAGAAGGATAGGGAGATGTTGGTCAGAGGGTACTTATTTCCAGTTGTAAGATGTATACATTCTGGGGATCTAATATTCAGAATGGTGACTATAGTTAATAATACTGTATTGCATACTTGAAAGTCGCTGAGAGTAGCTTTTTAATGTTATCAACACACACACACACACGCACACACAATTATAATTATATGAGATGATGGCTGTGTTAACTAACCTTATTGTGGTAATAATTTTGCAATATATAAGTGAATCAATTTATCATGTTGTTCACCCTAAGTGTACACTATATTATATGTCAGTTATATTTCAATAAAGCTGCAAAAAATAAAATAAAAAAGTGGGATGCAAGAAGTAAAAAAGACATATACAGCAATAATGAATACAGAAAGGAATCTATATTCTTTAAATATGTGTGTAAAACACATAACCCTAACCAAATTTCTTATGCCATGAGTAAATTTAGATCAGTGATAATCAATTCTTGTGTTTTTATTTTTTGCATGGAAAAGACAACAGTTTACCATAAGAGAAATATTAATTAAAATTTAAAATTGAGTCAACATTAAATGAACAGTCACAAAGAGCAGGTAATCTATAAACTTCAAATGCATAAGTAGCAGGTAATTTACTAGTATAAGCCATTTACATTCAGCCTTCATGTACATCAGAAATCTTTCACATTAATTTTACCTTGTTTATGAATTGATTAGATAAATAAACAGGTAACTTTGTATCTAACAATACAATAATTCTGAAGTTAAATGACAATTCTTTAAAAATCTACCATTTATATGTTTTATCTTTTAAAGACAATACGTTACAGCTATTTTCTGCCTCAATTTCACCAACTCGATGTAGAAGGTAAGTTATCATTATTACTTGATAGATGAAGCCGAGGCTTAAGACAACTAACTTGACCAAATTCACATTCTGTGGCGGAGCTGGCATTAAAACTCAGATCTATTCGACCCCAACTTGTTAGGCTCTATCAAGAGAGCTCCTTTAAGTTTACCTCTACCCTTATTTTCATATGTATTTTTTCGCCTTGCAGACATTCTTAAAGATTCCAGCCTATATTATTCTTTAAATATTTTATTAGAAGTAGAATTTGCTCCAGCATTTTCTCATAAGGAATCTCAGTCTGAGCTCACTGTTTCATTGCAAGTCTTGTCCGCCCTGCTAAACGGTACGTTCACAGTGCAGCACGAGGGTGCGGCAGAGGGAGTCTCTCTGAATCTGGGACAGTGCTTCTTGGTGGACAATCAAGGTCATACTCACTCTGTTATAATCTCTTTAGTCCATGGCACAATTATCAAAAGTAATGGAAAGCGCCTGTGGAAAATACTTTGGCGATGAGAGAATTTTAAAATTAGCTTTAAATACCAAGGAACAGAAATGAAAAAACAAGGGATGACCTAAAAAACCATATTAGACCAAAAAGAAGTTTTGAGGGCTACAGGATAAATTTTATTCATTTTTAGCCAGTGTCTGGTATGAGTGAGTACATGGGAGAAGGACAGGGAATTAACAAACACCCAGTCGTACTCTCTGCCAGACCTGTGCAATGCATCTTACATCCGTTCTTTCATTGGCTCCTCCCAACAAGCCATTAGGTAGGAAACAATATCTCCTTTTTCACGCAAACGTGAAGGTAAAAAAAATTAAAGGATTTTCTTGTGTTCTCAGATATTTAGCTGTAGAACTGCCCTTTGGACCCAGGCCTGCAGACCCCAACATTCATAATGTTTCTACTATATTATTTTGCCTTTTCCATGTATCTGTTGAACGGAATACTTGGAAGTAGATCTTGATTTACAGAATGAGCCCTTATTAGGCAATGGTAGTGATATTCTATGACATATCATACAAAAATCCAATTTACACTTTAAAGAGAGGTAGAAGATGTAGAGATAGGCAAATTCCAAAATCATCACCCACATTTGCTCCTGTTTTTCTTTGTCTTTACTATTCAACAAAGAAACATGTCTAACAGGTAAGGGCTATGTTATTCTCTGACATGAAGACAACAATATGGAGTTGTATTTAGCAGAAATATGAGCTGTGGGTTTTCTCCTACATATTTGGGGATTGAGGAAAGTTTAATGTAGAGGGGAAAGTGGAGAGAATAAAGAGATAGTAAGAGATGAACAATTCACACCAGACAATTTTAAAAGAGAAAATGTGTTCTATGCCTACATTAATAGCAAAGAAGTACTAAGGATTAAGGACCTCCTATTGAAAAATATGGTTATGTCTGGCTTAAAAATATTTATGAACATGAGTATGATACTTCATATGTAAACAAGTTTAAACATCCCTTCTTATTGGTCTTCAGATTACTTTCATTCTATTTCCACCAGGGATGAAATAATTGATGTCTGGGAAGACAGAGGTGATTTAGGGAAGACTTCACTGTAAAGAAAATATTTGAGATGAATCCTGAAGGATACGAAAAAATTATCCAGAAGGTTATAGGCAAAAATAAAAATGCCATTCCTACCGGCTTTCTGGTCGAAGTATTTAAGTTCATATTCACTTTTAATTATTTTTTTTTTTGTTCAAGCTATTAGATTTCCATTATAGTCAGCTAGAGCAAACAGTATAGTGTAGTGGTCATATGACATGGCTCTGGATTAAGACTGGCTGGGTTTGTATCCCATCTCTGATACATATATTTACTAACTTCTCCATATTTTTTACTCACTTGAAAAATGTTATGAGGAATAATATGTTAATACTAGAGGCCCGGTGCACAAATTTGTGCACCAGTGGGGTCCCTCAACCTGGCCTGTGGGATCGGGCCAAAACCAACTCTCCAACATCTCCCAAGGAGTCCCAGATTGGAAGAGGGCACAGGCCCGCCCAGGGACCCCACCAGTACATGATT